TGACTTATTAACCAGTTCTTAACCTCTCTGGGATGAAAGACGAGGAAGCACTTTCCCACAAAGGGCTTTCCAATCACAAAGTATTCCACTACGTAAAAAAGCCCATTCAATTGTTGAAGAAGGAATTCTTCATTTTGTCTAGTGTGAACCTCTCCTGGGCACATTTTCCACCAGGGAATTTCTGTCTGGAAGAAAAGCCAATGCCTCCTTTTGAACAGTTCCCTTGGCTGCAAACAGCCTTTTGTGGGATTCATGGCCCTTACCTTTGACCAGGGCTGGCATTCAGCCCGTGGGCCCCAGTACAGCCATGTCTGTTTTTAAAATACAGAAACTCTCCTGTGCCTACTGCTATCTAGTTGGTGCCCTGAGCGTCTCCTCTCCCTAAGATCCGTCAACTAAAAATATAACTCCAGCCCAGCAGGGGTGCCTCCAAGACCCTGCTGCAACAGGAGAGCTAACGCCCCTCTGATTTGTAACATCACACCTGCCTCTCATTTATTACACATTTAAGAGGTGTAACTACAAAGCAATGCATCTAAGTTTTTAAGCAACAGCAGGATTAAATATGCAAATATCAATTAGGCATCTCACTCTGAAGGGCTGGTTCCAAATCACTTCTGGCTTATGCCAAAAGCAAATCCGTTCTCAAAAGATAAAACTTTGCCATCCATAAGGGATTACATAAGAATATGATGCCAGCCCCAGTTACAACTTGAATAACAGTACCCCAAAACTCTATCGAGCAGTAATAGCATTATTGGAGTAAGTCTATAGCCTCATATGGTGAAGAGTTTTTCCCCACATGCATAATAATTCAGGGAAATTTTAATACTTCTGCATATCAGATGATATTAGAGAATTATTATTAGTTTTTAGATGTGATAATGATACTAAATTAAGTATTTTTTTAAAGTCTATTTTGGGGATGCCTGGGTGGCTCAGTCGGTTGAACATCTAACTCTTGATTTCAGCTCAGGTCATGATCTCATGATCTCAATCTTGTGGGTTCTAACCCTGCATTGGGCTCCATGCTGAATGTGGAGTCTGCTTGGGATTCTCTCTCTCCCTCTCCCCTGCTTGCACTCTCTCTCTCTCTCAAAACAAATAAACATTTAAAAAAGAAGGCTATTTTAAAGATACATATTTATTTACAGGCAAAGCATAAGATGGAAGGGATTTGTTTCAAAATAATCTAAAGAAAAGGGAGCAGAGGGTGGGTGTCAGGAGGGAGCTGTGATAAGTGTATGGGCTTCTTTATACTATTCTCTCCACTTTGATATAAGTTTAAAATTCTTCAAACTAAAAAGTTACACAAGATTGATTGCAATCAGTCTATAGCCCCTGGCGGGTGATAGAAGCACCCCGGATCAGGACATGAAGCGACCCTGAAGGATTCACAGTCCAGCCACTAACCGTGTTGCTGTGGAACATCTCTTATTTTGTCCTGTGCCTGAGTCTCCTGTCTGTAAGACACACGTAATCACAACCTTCCCACTCCCGGTAAGACACGTGTAATCATAACCTTCCCACTCCCGGCCACACACACTCACTCACACTCCCGAACAAGCGAGGAGGGATCTAACCAGGATAACATATGTATAACATTTTGAGCTCTTTGGGGGAAAGGTGCAACATAACTAATGCATCATTAGGACCTCAGCACCCGAAGGTGTTGTGTGAAATTCAATTTAGATGATTCAGAATTCCCAGAATCCCCACAGATTTTTCAGAAACTACCTCATGCTTAGTTTTCTAAGCAGCTGAAGAAAGGAGCAGAAACAAAACACCCTGCTTCTACACAGGAGGCTTTTAGCAGCTCTGTTTACTCCTCCGACACAAAGCCTTTGTTTATGTGTGACAGATGGTAGTACATGCTTCTCTCCTCTCTCTCTCTCTCTACTTCCCTTTTATCTCCCTCCCTCTCTCACTTCATTTGTTCCCCTCTGTTTCTTTGTCCCCCTCCATTTTTCCTTTTCTTCAATTCTCAGTGCTTCACAGCACTTTTCTTTTTTTCTCTTTCTTTTTTTCTAGAACGAGAGATAGCCCACACAAGCAGGGAAGGGGCAGAGAGAGAGAATCCCAAGCAAGCTCCACACTCAGCGTAGAGCCTAACACAGGGCTCAATCCCATGACCGGAGCTGAAATCAAGAGTCAGACACTCAACCAACTTGAGCCACCCAGGCATCCTTCACATCACTTCTCTTGTATTTACTCAAGGGCCAGCAAGAAGGATAAAGACAGACAGAACATGAGACCTTTACCTAGGTTGACCATTTATTCTATCAGGCTACACGCACAAGTCACTTCTTGGTTCAGAGCATTCATATTTGAAATATATTTTTGAAGACAAAGTAATACACCTTTGAAATTGTAGGGCAAACATTAAAAGGCCCATAAATATTTACATGGCAGATTTCCATGGGTTGCTTTCTCAAAGTAATTATAGTCAGTGCATTCACACACGCGCGCGCGCACACACACACACACACACACGTTACTTCAGTCTCAGCCATTCCCAAAAAACAAATGTAGACAAAAACAAATGTAGACATTACCCTTTTACTGAATATGTACTATGATATGCATAGTCTATACACCAGCCTGCGGAGCGGAGATGTGAAGGACCGTGTATGAAAGTCTTCTCTCTATCCGTATAGAATGCTAGTTCTGCCCGCAGGCTGTTACTTTTTCTGTAAAATGAAGGTACTGCATTCATTCACAGACTCTTTCCCAGCTCTATATAGCTAGGAATCTATGAGGCTCTTAGAGAATTTCCATAAATTCTGTTGGGGGTGGGGGAAGGTCTGTCAGAATACACATCAAACCAGCGCTTGAAGGATGAACCATGTAATGGCACAGCAGAATACTTAGGGACAAAGGGAAAGGGGGGAAATGGTATTAAGTGCAGTGGGGAAATAATTCACTTATAAATAGGGTCTGATTAGGGTATCAGAGATAGAAAGAATTGATATAATAGATACTAAGCAGGAATAGGAGGCAAGATTTGACACCTCCATTGATGTCTAAGACAAAAGACAACAAAAAAGCAAAACTGTACCAAAAAAAAAAAAAAAAAAAGGTGTGTGCCTATTGATCCCACCTAATCTCCTGAAATTTACTCTCAGATCTCAAACATGCTTCCAATAGAGGCATTCTCCAAGATACAGCACACTGGCCCTTTTAGAGGAGGCCTGTGCCTTGCCCTACTCAAGGATAATAGCTATCCCCTATGGCCACCCCCAACTCCCAGACAAGAAAGAGTAAAGATCCGTGCTCAGAAAAATGAAGTTGCTATTTGAGAATAGCCACATCTGCAAATGATTAACTCCAGGATTTATTACCAATTAGGACTATAAATCTCTGCTTACTTTGGCTCCTGGAAAGTTGATTTCACTGGGGGTTGGGGAAGGGGTGAGGAGAAAGTCATTTGAGACAAGGAGAGAGAAATCCAAGCTTAAAAAGACACACTTCAAATTTAAAAGGAAGCAGGATTTCTCAAGCACCAAAGAGGAAAGCAAACTTGACTTTGTAGTTCCATGCAAATAGCTCTGCAGATGCCTACAGTATTAGCAAAGTCAAAGAGGCTAGTGCAACTCAGAAGAGGGAGTCTGGGGTATGGAAGGGGGTTGCGTAACAGAATGGCATCCAGTAGCCAAGCCATAATATGGCCAGAGCTGGCAATGAAGTATGTGCTTCTGGGACTTTATACTCCTGAGCTAAGGGATTCCCAGCCTTGGCTGACCACTAGACTCACCTGTTGAAGCTTTAAAACATACTATGCTTCAATCATATTACAGGCCAATTAAATCAGAGTTTCCAGGCATGGTGCTTGGGTATAAGAGCAGTTCAAAATCCCCAGGTGACCCTCCCGGTGAAGCAAGGGCTGAAAGCCAACGCTTATCTCATGTCATCCTCATGGCAGCCCCAAGTTATAAGTGTCTATCTTATGTTTTCTGGAAGGGAAAACTGAGGCACGAAAAGGCTAAGTAACTGGTCCAGAGTTACACAGCTAGCAGTGATGGAGGCAGGATTTGAACCCACAGCTCACAGTCTTAATCATCATGCTCTATGACCCCCCAAGGATACGGTTCTCAGCTATTCCAGGCCCTGAGCCTTCATGAACTTTTCAAGGTAGAAAATGGGGGTTCTCAACCTATTTTATGTTATTTTGAAAAAAATTAGAATAGAAATGAAACATTAGCCCTTATTAATGCTACATATTAATGAAGAAGACAAGTCTCTTTCCTTTGCTTGGAATGATACCAAAATAAGGAGGTTGCACTGGAAACCCCATGCTCATCAGGAGTTCTCATTCATTCATTCAACACATATTCTGCAGAGTCTATAAAACAGAACCACCCTGTGCAGATAATCACACAACAGATGTTCTCAGGGCCGTAACAGTGGCATGCTCCAGACACTCTGAGAGCCCACAGAAGAAAGTGAACAGCTCTGGGTGGCAGTAATATAAGAACACTCCTTTGGTGAGTGAAAAATGACAAGGTAAGCCATAGGGCAATATATGCACATTGCTCAGGGGTAAGATGAAAGATGGAGACCCTGAGTGGAGGCGTGGGATAATAAACGACTAGAAGAAGGCTGCGGACACACTGTGGGTGATCCATAGATATTTAAGCCAGGGTGGAAAACACAGATTCCTGGTTGGCGCCTACATGAGCTGGATGTCAACAGGGAGGTGGGGACAGAGGAGACTAGAGAGCCCACATTCCGTCCAAAGAGGCAGCTGTTCTCACCTCCGGCTGAAACTGTCATATAGGAGTATGGGGACAACGTTGTCAGAGCTTTGGAGTTTTTTAGGGGAAGCTGTAAATAAGGGCTGCTGAATGCAAGATATCCCACTTGGAGTCTTTTCCAGACACTGTGTAGACCAAAAAAACACATCCTCCCCCAGCTCTACTTTCACCACTGAGTGATCTCCCTGCTACTCGCATGGATCGCAAAGCAGCTGCTTATTCACCTGTGCCTTTCCCTCCCTGCAGGTATGCTCATTTATTTTGGGTATGGCATCTGGAACAGCACCCTGGAAATCAGCGCTCGAGAAGAAGCCTTACACCAAAGCACGTACCAGCGTTACGACGTGGATGACCCTTTCTCGGTGGAGGAGGGTTTCTCCTACGCCACCGAAGGCGAGAGCCAGGAGAACTGGGGCGGGCCGACCGAGGACAAAGGCTTCTATTACCAACAGATGTCAGATGCTAAGGCAAACACCCGGACAAGTAGCAAAGCGAAGAGCAAAAGCAAACACAAACAGAACTCAGAGGCCCTGATTGCAAATGATGAGTTAGATTACTCTCCAGAGTAGGAGTAAACACACAAGAAATGTGTAGAGACGATGGCGATTTCTTTTCAGTAACTTAACCTGTGGGCTAGAGGGTGAAAACATTTTTTTGGCTCTCATTTCAAAAATCCAGCCTTCCCCCAGAGTCAGTCCCCAGTCATAGCCTGTCATTTGCTACTTATGCTCCTCAGGATAGTTCTGTTGAAGGGTTTAACCTGGGTTTCATCACCGATCCCCTTGTGGGGAAAAAAAAAAAACTAAACAAGAGGCTACAAGAAATTCTATCTTAGGTGCAACCATCAGAGTGGATGGCAGCAAATGTTTCCTAGGACTTTGCTTTTCTGGTTGAATCCTTCTGCTTCTTACTGAGACCCCAGAAGCAAGGGGCTAACTTCTTGGGCCACCCTGAGGCCGCAGCTCCTCCTGGAGATGTGCCAAAGCAGGTGGGTGTGGGCACAGGGTAGCTTCTCAGCCCCTGGGAGCACAAGGGCAAAGATCCTCTCAGTACTGGCCGGCTTTGAACTGCTCCCCAGGGGGCGGCCAGGTGGGCGCTGTCACTTTCTCAGCCAGCGACACTTTGTCCTCAGATCTCACAAAAACTAATTCTTGGGAGAAAACACATGCTTCTTTTTATTCCTCAAGGTTCTCACAGTCTCCAAACTTCAGGGAACCGGCAAAGGTTAGGGATTCTGAGACCATTTCCCCAGAGGGTTCAGATTTACCATAAAACAGTCACGCAGACCCGACAACATGGTAAGAAGCCCCATCAAAGGCCTACTTACATGCCCAGGAAAAAATTAAATAAGCATCTCCTGCAGCAAAGGCCAGAAGGGCATTGGCAGATATCAACTCTCTGTCATACCTTTTCTTTTACCAGCCTCTAAGCTCCTGCTGATATAATGAAAGAGGGCAAAGTTGGAGCATGATTTCATGGCACTAATATGCCTTGAAGAAGAAGGCCGTTTGTTTTATAACCAGATAAAAATCTTTACAAGGAGAAGTGACCCAGTCACTGAGATCATATTGCAAATTCTACTTCAGATTTCCATAATTATAAATTGTGCAGTTTGTGGAGATTTGCAACCAGTTGGTTGGTGGGGGCTCCTCTGAAAACAGAGATGTGGAAACACAGCTACTTAGGTAATCGTATTTTGAGAGATCACATTTCACTTCTGAACCTTATTCCTCTGGAGGAGCTCCCTTTTAGACATGTATTTTGTCTGCTATTTCCCAGAGCAGGATTCACTGGAGCCCAGAGAAACACCTACCCTAAGGTCTAAATTGGGCCATGAGAGGGGCTCCTAAAGGAATTGTCTCAGAAATAACCTAGACGAGAGAACGTGCCGCAGGAAAAAGCACATAGCCTCTAATCTCTGCTCTTGGTTTCCAGAGATTCCCACGGCTGCACCGAGATGTGCACACAAGAACCGGAAGGCACGGTTTCAATCAAGCTAAAATCTTTGTGGGGGGTTCCTGAAAGTGGGGGTGGGGGCAAAATAGCAAATTTCGTGCCCTCTTTCTCCCGGGTCTAGCATTATGCCAAGTGTTTTCCAGAATACATCAACTAATGTGAGGTCTATTCTTTCTTCAATGTTGAGGTTCCTGCCATCTGAGCATGCTTTAGGATTCTGGAGAAGAGGCAGATTCACTCAGCGTACTGTACTGTATTGAGTGTATCAGTATACACTGATTGAGAAAGTACCAAGGGCTCAGCGATGAGAAGGGTAAGAAGTGTAACATTGTGCCCTTGGGGCTCCCAGTTTAGGGAACCCGCAGCTCTGGTGCCTGACAATCGCAGATGAAACAACCAAGCCTGACGAGGGAATCCTCATGGATGCCCGCACCGGGCTTAAGATAAAAGGTCAATTGCAACTAGTTGTTTAACAAGCTTTTAAGTCAATTGCATATCACACCCATAGCTAATGTATTCTAGTAAATTCGAGTGACTCCTATTTTCTAGATCTTCTTTTTCATTCCTCTGCATTAATTGTTCAGAATTCTGGTTTCCTGAGGTCATTCTGTCATTTTGGCATTATGCGTGGCAATGCTGTGTCTTCTCTCCCCTATTAACCATAAAGATAGAGTACCTGGTCTGTGAAATATAGTCTCGGAGAGGAACTGTAAACTAATTACCAGGCATTTTTTGTGAATACCAAGTTTTGAACTAGTTTAGAGATTCAATAAATCTGCCTAAATCAAATAATAACGTGTTAAGCCTGAGCTATCCAGATAGATGGGGTGGGGCTGTATTCATTAAAAATGTCCAAAAAGAAATATGAATGCAAAATAACAAAATCTTAATGTGGGTGAAAGAGCTTCCATTTACTATGAAGGTTAAGTATTAAGGTTGCAACAGTTTGGTGGCAGATGTATGAAATTTCTGTAGGATGAGGAGAGAGAATGCACGCTTTGGTAAACACCATTGGCATATAGATTTTGTGAAGATCCTATGAGCTGCTCTTTCTTCTGGAGCCATTTCTCCCACATAGTAGCTCCTTCTTTTTTTAATCTTGGTCTCTCCATTTCTCTAGGTCATCTCCCTAGCAATCTTGGTTTAAAAAAAAGTGTCAAAAAATTAGTCAATGTGATAGAAAAAGAATTCTTAAGGTAAATTGACATGTTTTATTCATGTTTCCCAGCCTCATGCAATGGTCCCAGATTTCACAATGCAGTTTCAAATTCCATCACTTATTAGAATGATTATATGAGTGTTTCCTAACAATTTCCTCAAGACCTCTTAGTGGGATCATGTTAAAAGTAAGATCACCTTATAATTAATTACTGAAGAAACTTAGCCCCCTTGAATGGAGTCCAAAGAAGACCTAGATTTTATTGAATTCTTCTTACTTCTAGAGCTTTTCCAAGGAGGTTTCATTGTGTGAATTAGTTGGAACCAATTACTTGATTTTTCTGTAATTATATTCTATTTATTTGTACCCTCTTCATTTAAAAGGATTTTGAGGTGGCTATTAAAATACATATAATACCAAAACAAGTGAGGAGCTTGGGTGAATAAAAATAGAAATAGAAAGGATAAGACAAATCTAGACGTGTGTATAGTGCCCAAATGGAAAACCTTTATACGCATTGCCAGATTTGCCAATAAGGAGGCAACTTGAAAAATAATGGAATTGTTAGTAATAACAAGAAGAAATACTCCTGCATGATAAGAACAAATCTTTCCCCATGACGGCAGAGAATAGCATAGATCATTGAAATATAGGCTTCAGACTTAGATTTTGCCAGAAATATATGCCTGGCATGTAGTGAATGCTCAATAAATATCTGATGATCATATAGATGGGTGAATAGATAGATGAAAGGAAAATGAAGTATCATTTATTCAATAATTTTTTGTGGAATCCTTATTCTGTGCTTTGGCATAAGAAATAGGGGAAATAGGATACATAAGATATATAAATAAAAACTATAGGGTAGGTTACAGGTGAGATGAGGGAATTACAATGTGAAATGGGAGCTCAAGTATGGAAAAGACCTCCTTCCATTGGAAAAAAAATGATAGAGAATGCAGCCTTTGTGTTGAGCCTTGTGGAATGGGCAGAATTCTGCCAGGTAGAAACGGGGGGCAATGCTTGCCAAGCGAAGAAGCAGTGTGAGTAAGGTGTAGACTGGCTAGTAGCTGTCCATGACTAATAGTTTGTACTGTGCCTCCTTCAGGGGAAAGCAAGAAGCTAGTTTGACAGGAATTTATGCTGTCTGCATGATTTATATATGGAACAGTAGGCAATAATGCTGAGAAGGTGGTCAGGGCTTACTCCCTGATAGACTGGAACAGCAAACTAAGCTGGCTAGCTCTCCCTGGGTGGGGAGGCACTAGGGAAATGAAGAAGGTCTGAGTCAGGGAAGGTTGGACTTTAAGAAGTTAGGGCAGTGGCGTCATCTGCCTGTGTAAGGAGCTAACAGATCACACACACATTTCAAATTGATTTAATATATTAAAGAGAAAAAAATATTCAAATTAAAGCAATGTATGATTGATCCTTCTTTTGAATCCTGATTTCATCAGTAACCTAGAAGAAGTATAGTCATTTAATGTGTAGACAGACAATAAGAAGTTATTCACAACCACTTTGTAATTTTCAACAATAAGTTGAAACAACCAAATCTAACAACTTTTTATATCTAACTAATCTAAACAGTAAAACCTCAGCTCCAGACTTTACTTAGCTTGAGTACAAGACCACTTTGAACTGGAGAAAGGAATTGGATGATAGAATTAGGTTAAGGGACACCTGGGTGACTCAGTCAGTTAAGCGTCTGACTCTTGGTGTCAACTTAGGTCATGATCTCACTGTCTGTGGGTTTGAGACCCTTGTCAAGCTCTGTGCTAGCAACGGAGCCTGCTTGGGATCCTCTCTCTTTCCCTCTCTCTGCCCCTCTCCCACTCACACCCTATCTCTCTCAAAAATAAATAAATAAACATTAAAAAAAGAATTAGGTTAAGAATCCAATTCTACTTCTTATTACCAAACTAACAGCTAATCAGATGTCTAGAAAATGGTCATGATGAGCCTGTTAGATAAACAACGGGGGGGGGGGGGGGGGGGGGGAAGTTATTGAAATTAACAATCCATTTGTCTACATATAAAGCTAGCAGTTATTGGGAAACAAAACATGAACTCCTTCCAAGAAATGTCTTTCCCCTATTCTCCTGAAAAGAATTGATCTACTTGACCTCCTTCACATCACACTTGTTGGAAGTCTACCAGGGGCTACAAAATGTTTTCTCTGTATTTTAAATAGAGGCTGCAGGAGTTTGAGAATCAGCCTAAAAGACTAAACGAAGTGGCTTTCCCCTCACCCCAGCTTTCATCAGGGGCCAAGATCAGTGGAAGCCCATGGAGTGTCAGCCACAAGTTGACCTAATTTTATATTTCAGAGTGAAGTCGGAAGTCAGGAAGCATAGGACCAGCTCACTGAATCCGGGAGGAGTTAATGGCCCCCCTTGGATGTAAGCTTCCAGGTTAGTGAACAATCCAGAGATGAGGAGCCAATGAAACACACTCTCCAAAGTTTGTCACTGGGGCTGCATGGCAGCATTCCATTTTTATGCCATTTGAAACAAGACTAGTCAAAGAAGGTGTTTCCAACCAAAATTTCCATGGCGCCTCCATTTCTTCTGTATGCTTGCACCTCCCTGA